TTTCTTATTTCTGTGCCTTTTTATGTCATATTAGAAATTTTAATTTACATATTTTATACATATTTATATTTAAAAAAATTTTTAATTTATCACGCTGTTTTCTCCTTGCTTAGGAAATAAGCCGACATAGCGGTAATAATAAAAAAGTCGCTTCTTCTCCTTGTCAACCAGAGTAGAAAAGTCACGGCGATAATTAGTGAATCATTCATTTAAACAGTCAGTACAGATTATTTGATAATCGTTTCATTTTTTTCCACCGGTTCAGTATTTTACTTCGTTGATTTTGCTTCATTCTTGATCCTTAACACTTCAGCGTCGAATAAACGGTTGTCGACATTTATCGCATTTAAATTCGCTTTGATTATACTTTTTTGTCATATACTTTTTTGTCATATACTTTTTTGTCATATACTTTTTTGTCATATACTTTTTTGTCATAGACCTACTTTGATTATTATGTAAGCAATATGTATAAAGTATAAAATTATTTATTATAATTATTATTTTAGACAAGAATAAACCTATTACTACTTTTTTAATAATTAATTTCCGCTTTTGGGAGTTAACTGAATTACTAAAAGCAATTTAAACAGTAGTTAAGAGCGGAAATTTAATGTGAAAAAGGTAGTATTCTCTAAATTTATGAATACTAAATTAGGGAAATTAGTCAACAATTCCGACCAATTTGCTTTTTCTATTTGGTTATCCACGAAATTTAATCATTTTAGTTTTTTTCTACTAGCATCAGGGATAGTGGATAATCAGTCACAATTAGTAAATTGATTGCCACCAGCACGGATGCTTATTAAATTGGTAAATTCTGATAAGTCGGCTTCGCCTGATAAGTTTTGTTTGCTTAAAGCTAGCATAGTTAATTTTTCTTTATTAGTTATTTGGTTTAGATATTCTTGGATATTTACCATGTTATTTGCTTTATTTTGGGATTTTTATATTTTATTTTAATTCTTATTATTATAAACCACAACCTCCTGCTTTGCTTCAAACCTCTCTTTATACAGTTTGTCCTGCTCAACTTTTAACTTGGCAATACTTTCACATTTACGGAAAAATTTCCGGACATCATTTTCATCGATTTTTTTTTCTAATAGTTCATCCTTAATATCCTCAACTTTATCCTCAGCAACATCAATCTCGTTCTGCTTACCATTCTCCTGGGAACTAACTAATTGTTGGTAGGCTTTCTGTAATTCTCTAACTTTCGCCCGACTAATTTCCAATTTTTCCATAAGAACTTCCAAATTACTTTCTTTGGATTTTAACTTATATTCAATAACCTCTTCTCTTGTTTTACCCAACAATTCTTTTAATTCTCTAATTTTTCTTTCTTTTTTTCTTAATTCATGATCCTTATCATTACTCGCTATTGTTAAATTATTAAACGAACTTCTTAACTCCTCCAATCCCTTTTTAGTTGTCATTAATTCTCCTTCTTTATTCTTCAACTGGTTTTGAACATTTGCTAATTTAGAGTTAAGCGTTGCTATTTGACCATCCTTTGCAGAGTTTTGCGACCTCAAACCGGAAACTTCTGATTGGAGACTGGAATTTCGACTTTGGAGACTATAAACTTCCGACTGTAAATTAGAATTTCTTGACTGTAAACTTGAATAAGAACTTTGTAAACTGTAATAATCTGACCGGACTCTAGACAATTCTGCAGTGGAAGTTGAGGATTTAAAAATAGCATTATCCCAAAAAGTAAAATCGTAACTAGAACTGTGTTGGCGTGTTTTTTCAAAATCTATTTGCACACTATCCCCTTCTTTTCATTCAGTAAACGGAGAGTAATTTTTGCAATAAATATACTTTTCACTCCCACCAGAATAACTAACATAACCACTTAACTCAAATCTAATATAACTTGAACTTGTACTTTTAACTTTGGCAATTATATATAATTTTACACTAAAACTAAAAATAGGAGCCTCATAAAGACTTTTATATTTTATAAATAAAATAT